TCTAACTGGTAAAAAAAGGAAGCGCTTATAAAAAAACAACCAACCATTAACGGCATCAGTCACAAACACGGCCAAAATATATTGGCCGTGTTCGGAAATTAATAATACTAGAATTATTTTGCAATTATTTAGTTATGTCTGACATTTTTACCGAGATTTAAAAACTCGACGTTTCCTTCAATTTCACAAACCAATCGATGATATCTGAATAAGCTGATTTATTTATTTATTTATTTTTTAAAGCAATTCACCCTAAGCAAGACGGGAGTATCACTAGCATGCAACGGGTTGCAGAGGATTGAGAACAAGAGTAAAAAGGCATGTTTGGGGGAAGGATACATAGAAAGACAAGGAACATGCTCAGTGAGTCAGATGTCGATTGACATTACACTTGAATATTTGAAGATTATAGTCATCGGGGTAAGCAAGTAAGGGGAAGGGAGTTCCACAGACGGGAAGTGCGGGAGAAGAAGCTGTTGGAGTAGAAGAGATGGTTACATTTAACCGTTTTGACACTGAAAGGGTGGGACCGAGATGCCAGCCTCGTAGCTCGCTTAAATTCATGCAGTCCGGGAACCAGCGAAAGTAGCTCGTCGGAACATTTGACGTGAAAATACTTGTAGAAGAGACAGAGGGAAGCCACGGCAGGTCTGTGGTAAAGCGACTGTAGACTAGATGCCAGATCAGGACCAATCATATTGCATATTCGTCTCTGGGTTTTGTCGAAGACCTCGAGACGTACAGCGGGAGCACCAGACCATATATGACAGCAATATTCCATGCAAGGACGGATGGACTCAGACAGAGAACCAACTTTCCTTGCGGTAGATGAAGCTATTGATTCAATAATTTTATTTTATAGGATTTCATGGTAAATGACATTTTTTAAGAACATTACTATTTTTCTTTTTAACAGTGAAGAATAGATTCTTAGGATTTCTTACTCTTGAGCATGCAACATACAACTGGCCATGCGTAAACATTTCTTTCTGGAGTCAAATTCCAACTTTTTAAAGCATTTGGCCTTGTGATTTGTTTCTAGTTCTCACAAACGCAGGACGAACTGGAAACTGGATTCTAGTATATATAAAAACTTAAAAGATATGCAAAAAATAATATTGCATTTTTATTAAATAAGTATTTGCTATTTTAGTCATTAAATTGTTTTTAAAATAGTGGGAGTATTTTGTATGTTAAATAAAATTTATTGTACTAAGCTAAGTACCCTAATAAAACCAGCTATACTTCGTACCCCCTTTACTTGTTTCACTTCTCCCAAAAAATTGGTTTCGATCGTTTAATGTATGGCTATTTTAGAGGGTGTGCGGGATGGACGGACGGAAGTCACAGAATTTTATATATAGATGTTTACCTTTTAGCAAATTAAGTACTATTTACAATAAAGCTAAGAAAGTCCATGAAATGCCTAACAGCAGAAAACGATTGGAATGTGAAGATCTTTTGGACAATTTCTACACTCAGTAAGTCCAAAAAAAGAAATCTCTCATTCACATGCAATAAAAAAATTCAATAGAAGTAGCTTGTAAGTCATTTTTAACGAAGCATATATTAGAGAGGGGTTGCTGCCAATGAATAACTATAAAATTACATGACTCGGCAGTAAGCAAGGAAACTAAAATATTTAGAAAAAATAGTTTGACGACAAATAGCAAGAAGCCAAAGAAGATATTCAACATTTAATCCACGAAATCGAAAAATATAACGAAATATTGAAAAAAAAAAAAAAATTAAATTAAAGTGAATATAAGAAGGCAAAATACGATATCATTCGGAATATTAATAACAAAAAAAATTGAAGCATAACCAACACATCACTGAAAAAAAACCCCCCAAAAACTTTACAATTTATACCAACGAAATATTCCATTACCAAAACCAATGGCTTACGGCCATATCACGTTGAAACGCCAGATCCACTACAATTACCAAAGTCGAGCCTTGTCAGTACATCGATCGGTGTTGGCGTTGGAATACCAGGTGCTGTAAGCTTGGAGGTGCGGGTGGTGTAATGGATAATGGCTCGTAATTGTTAATCAGAGGGCCGAGTTCCAATACGAGCTGGGTCCATCATATTCACTTACGCGCAAGTCCCCTTGGGAAAGGCAGGGATCTATCACTTCTCCTCCAGGCTACGGGTTAATTAGTAAGACTTGTATTACTAAATCATTATCTCCAAAAGACAAAAAAATCTAAAAATATTTTCTGGCTTTAGATAACCTAAAAACGATTGATAAGCCGTAGAAAATAAATCGATCAATCAAACCAGCCTCACATTCTCTCCCCCTCTGCTCCCCGCTCTCTCTCTATATATAAAGAAATATAGTTTTAAGGTATGCTCTATTTATGGGTTAAAGTGCCCAATATCAGAGATAGAGCGTATGTAACTATAAAAGGGAACATTGAGGTCAACACTCAGAGGCGACAGACTGTTTCATGCTAAACGCAATCGTCAGATTGCACGAAACAGACTGTCGCCTCTGGGTTTTGACTTCAATGTCCACTTTATCTATTTATCTATGATATGACATAACGATATATAATTTTATACATTATTCGGACTGTTGTCCTTTGTCGCCATATTTATTACAACCTTTCAGCCGTTGGACGCTCCGGCCTTCTTCAGGTGGTTGAAATGTTGAACCGAACCCTTTATTTCGCTCACTGGGGTAGACTGTTCTAGTTCCACGTGCCATGTCAGTTACCAAAGTTACTGAAAGTTCTCCACTGCCTTAACTGGGTATTGAACTCTTTTGTTCCTGTCACTGGATCTAACTAACGCCTTTATCCATTGTGCCATGTGTCCTTTAGGATATCTGTGTATGAATTTCTGGGTATTATAAACCTAATGTCTTCAGCAACCATTTTTACCAGTTCTCATATTGCAATTTTGCTGTTTTCATTACATGTTTTTACCAGAGCTCATATTGCAACTTTGTTATTATTGCTTTTCTCTGGCACTCCTTATTACTGGTTCCCATATTGTATTTATTTCTATGCTTGGTCGGCTCAGGAGATTTTTGTGGCCTAGCATATGTGCTGATTCCTTAAGTTTACAAATTTTCCAATGGTGTTCTATGTCTATGATCTCAACCTGACCCCACAGAGGGCGGTGATATCCTTCTCTTTCCATATGTGGACAGCCACGCCTGATTTTTCCACTTCCCCTCGTCTTACAGATTTCTGGTGTTCTTGAAGCCTTAACTTAAGGGGGCGGCCTGTCTCCCCTTTATATTTCTTTCCACAGCTGCACATGTCACAAAAAATATCCTGAGCCGACCAAGCATACAAATGAATACAATATGGGAACCAGTAATAAGGAGTGCCAGAGAAAAGCGATAATAACAACAAAAATTGCAATATGAGCTCTGATAGAAACATGCAATGATAACAGCAAAAACTGCAATAAGAGCACTGGTAAAAAATGGTTGCTGAAGACATTAGGTTTATAATACCCAGGAATTCATACACAGATGTCCTCAAGGACACATGGCACAGTGGATATAGGCGTTGGTTAGATCCAGTGACAGGACCCGAAGAGTGTGAGTTCAATATCAAGTTAAGGCAGTGGATAACTGATAATTGACATCCATTATGCATGGCACGTGGAACTAGAACAGTCTACCCCATTGGGCGAAATAAAGGGCTCAGTTCGACATCCGAAACGTTGTAATAAACATGGCGACAAAGATAAGGCAGTAGTCCAAATAATGTACGTAATGCCTCATCTCAGAAATATAGACATATAATTTTATATATCAACAAATAGTATTGAGAAAATAGTATGACAAATTTTGGAAAAAAGCCTAATCTGCTAATGTACTAACGGATGAAACGCTCCACATTTTTTTTACTCAATTTGTCATACTATTTTAACTATATATATATATATATATATATATATATATATATATATATATACCTCGCTGTTTAATTTGAACTATTTAAAAGAAGAAAATTCTTATAATCTAAAAATATGGCTTTAAATAACCTGAAAAGGGTTGATAAGCCGTAAAGAACAAACCGACCAATACCAAATAAAAAAATAATTAAGCCTATCCGACCATAAACTAACAGATGACCATCAGAAATATATAAATTTAGGAAGAAACTGTCACCTGCAATCGAAATTTGATTCATTAATAAAGAAAACTGAAATTGAAATCATACACCAGAAGAAGCGAAGTAAGGTCAGGACGGTTGATAGGCTGTTCAGGTGGTAGGTGCTACCAGGAATCATCCTGGCTCTCAAGATTCAGAGAGATGTTTCCAAAACATCTATCTGAGTCGGTAGCAAGGACCTTGTGTAGATTATGGGTGAAGCCAAATTGGAAGGTTTAATTTAAAGAGTTGACAAAGTGACACAGTTGAACCGGTCTGAAACGATCTCCCGTTTATCAAAGGGAAAAAATCTCCATGTCACAGGACGTGTTGCAAGACACGGTCACAGTAGAAATTGTTAAATTTTATGAATACCTAATATTCATTAAGAGGCAACAGGAAACAAAAGCTGGACTCCACGAACGTGGTAGCACGTAGGAAAGTCACAGAGCGGCCACGAGATCAACGCGGAGGTGGAGGAAGGATGGCCCCATGACAGACAAGATGTTTTAACAGGAGAGAGCTCGGAAAGAATGGTCTATTTTGCCATTTGTATTTCCCCCATTATGGGCAGTATTATATTCGGGATATAATAACACCGCAGTTCACTGGCGGAACGGAATGGCTGGAAAAAAAAGGAATGACAGACATGCTTGATATTCAGAGAGACTTTTATATACTAAGACATACACAAAACCATATATACATATATACACATATATCACACGATAGAGGTACACCTGTGTCTCGAGAAGCCATTTTTAGGACTCCAGATTCAAACGGACCGGATTCATCTATGTCCCAGACGAGGACATAAGGGAAAAGTGGGCTGGAGTTTCATTTTATATCTGGGGAAAAAATATTCCCAAAGGGAAACGGCATCATGGACTAGTAAGCTGCTTGGGGAGAGAGAGAGAGAGAGAGAGAGAGAGAGAGAGAGAGAGAGAGCGAGAGCGAGAGATAGCCTCTGTCCGGGCCACTAGGCGGATTAAAGAAAGAAACCACTCGCTTTGGCTGCTGTAAACGAACTGAATTTGGCTGCTGCTTTCGGCACTGTATGGAGTAACGTCACTAAGCAGCTGTCATGTAACCAATGTGACTTATCTCCACCAATGGGTGATAATCGTCTTTCGTATCTCTACATTGTAATCGAAACAACTATGACAGTATGTGTAGTGTCGAAAGTTGGCTGGCGATCTAAATTTTCTTTTAGGGAAGGAAAAATATATTGGTTGATTATCCTTTATCCGAAATTCCCAAATCCCAAAACCTCTAAAATCCGAGAGTTTTTCAGGCGCTGACATGACTTGCCACAAATGGAAATTTTCAGAAAGCAATGCGAAGGTTCCCAGGTAAGTGACTTCATCTGCCCTGGGGGTGGGGGTTTCCCAGTCCAGCTACGTAGACTACGTTGGCGCTAGATTTTTGTTAGCGATTGTCACAGCAACACCGTCCTTCGTGGATTAATTACCAGTTGTTTCGCGCTCAGTAAAGATATTATTCAAATTGTCAAATCATCCTGCATTTATATACTTTTGTAAGTAGTGATCATGATTTTTTTTTGTACACGTACAGAAAATACGAAAAATTATTTTTAAGTGAAATCGTAATTTCACCACTTAAAACTTCGTGTGAGCCTTACAGAATTAGCGTCATTACCTGTATTTGTATGCATACAAAATTTATCAAATTTTATATGAAACTACTTTTAAGGTACAGGCTGTCCATAAAGTTCGTGTGCACTTTAAAAAATTATAACTTTATTTGTATTTGCGATAGAAATAAATTGTAAAAATCTATAATTTTTTAAAGGTTTTACTGAAATTTTATTTAAGTTTCCACATGTCCTCCATCATTAGCAATACAAAGGGTAATACGATTTTGTAGTTCACCGAAAACATTTGACAACTGTTTTACAATAATGCCTGAAATTACATTAGTTATTTTAACTATACTTAAAACTAGGTACATTAAACTTTATAACATTTTTTACAGATTATTTCTATCGCAAATACAAATAAAATTATAAATTTTTTAAAGTGCACACGAACTTTATGGACAGCCTGTATATATTATTTATATAAAACTAACGTCAGAGTATATGTATAATCAGTGTTATGAAATGTAAATGGATATCGTATTTATGCTTGGGTTCCATTCCCAAGCTGCCCCATTTTATAGATGCTATATACAAATGAAATAGCCTGTATTCGAAAATCCGACAAAATCTAAAAACCGAAGCCGTTCCGGTCCTAAGAATTTCGGATAAAAGATTCTTAATCTGTATTACTATTTTAAGAACAGGGACTTTTTGAGGATCATGACTAATGCCAAATTGGAAGGGTTTAATCTAAACATTACTGGAACAGGTGTTATCATTTCCGATTATTAATTATTTGAATTTCCTCCTGGCAATTCACAAGACAGTATTTTTATTGGTCAGTGATTACGTAATTTTTTTGCCACTGGCCAATCAAATAAGCTTGAATAAGATTCCCTCCATAAAAGCGATGCCGGCCGAAGAACTAAGGTGAGAAGAGGAATTGCCCAAATCACTGCTAGAGCAGGTCTACGTGCCAGCCGTCGTTCAGGAAAACACGCACACACACACACACACACATATATATATATATATATATTTGATGCGACCTGGTCATTGGTGAGTTTTGCTATTTGAGTTCCTCTGCGCATGTCAGGAGGTAGACGTAGATGTGTTGGGAAAGATATTATTTGAGATCTTCAGTACTTCATACAGTGGGGTTGAATAAGTGATCGTACGCATAAAAATATTTCATATTTTTATTTGTAACATATTAAATTAACAAAACGGGAATATATCTACTGTATCAGATTGCATACTAAAAATGTATGCATATAAAACTAAATAATATTCCATGGTTAAGAAAATATAGCAATATTTAAAGTAGCAAAGCCTTTATTAAGTTCAACAGCAACCAATCTCTTCCTGTAGTCTTTAATTAACGATTCGCATACTTTAGTAGGTATTTTGTCCCATTCTTCCTGAGTAATTTTCTTCAGGTTTTTGATGTTTCTTGGACCCCTATCACGGATATTATTTTTCAAAAACCGCCATAAATTCTCTATTGGATTCAAATCCGGCGACTGACTGGGCCATTGTAAGATGTTAACGTTGTTATTAGCGAGCCAATTCTTCGTACCCTCAGCAGTATGCTTGGGATCATTGTCCTACTGGAAGATCCAATCGGGAGGAAGCCCAAGATTCTCTACAGAAAGCGGTAAATTTTCGCTTAGGATTTGTTGATATTTTTTTGCATTCATTCTACCGTCTATAATTGCTAGTTTGCCAACACCTCGCATCGATAAGCAGCCCCAAAACATGATATTACCCCCACCAAATTTGACAGTTGGTATGGTGTTCTTGGGTGCGTATGCTTCGCCGTCTTTCTTTCATACATGATTCAGGGAATTGCGCCCGAACAACTCAATTTTACTCTCATCTGTCCAAAGAACTCTTTCCCAATAAGAATTTTCCTTATCTTTATGCTCTGTCGCAAATTCCAACTTGGCATCTCTATGCCGTTTCAGAAAGAGTAATGTCTTTCTTGGGGAGCGCGACTTCATACCGTCTCTGCGCAGTTCATTACTAATCGTTTGCTTAGTTACGTTAACTCCTGACAAAGTCAGATCATTCTGTTGTCTGATGGCCATTGCGTTATTTAGGACCTGTCGCATCAACTTTCTTTGTAATCTGGGAGAGATCTTCCGAGTCTGCCTTTGTTCTCAACAGTATTACGTCTTTTAAATCTTCCAATAAATAAACCAGTTGTTCGTGTCACAGGAGATGTTTCTGTAACTTTTTCCATTGTTCCATAGCTTAATAATCAGTTCTTTTTAAGCACAAGTCATTTCCTTATGCCTAGCCATTATTAGAACCGTTATCAGTGAACAGTGACTGCGGAATGATCCAATTTTGAACTGAATGTGGCAATAGAGCTACTGAGAATATTCTAGAACAGTTTAGAATCTTCTATTTTGAAATACAACCAAAATCTAACGTATTATAATGCAAAAATTGATACTGTACCAACACTTTTTCCACTTTTCGAAATATAAAAATTTGCATAGCTATCACTTATCAATGAATTTCTAATTTTAAATTTCAGATTCTGATTCTATGCCCCCAAATACATATATAACATTGTTATTCGGGGTTTTCATTCACTATAAGTGAGAATAACAAGCATTTGTTTGCTGTACGCTCACTTATTCAACCCCACTGTAAGTGCTTTTTGGAATTATTCAGCAGTTGAGTAGGAAATTCCTTCTGTTTTGTAGGGAGTAACCAGACAAGAGACGTTTTTTGTATATGAGAACATAATGTTGTTGCTGTCTTTTTGAAGTGGTTTTTATGTTCAGACAAAATGATAAACGTTTCCTATTTGCTCTTTATCTTATCATCCAGTCGGATTTCGATCCATATTTGATCTGCATTTGATATTTCACTCATTTTGTTTGAACATGGAAACAGCTGTGAACAGCTTTGATAGAAAGATATGAACATAGATAGATTGGGAGATAGATAGATATGAACAGATATGATAGATACATATGGATAGATATGATAGAAAGATATGGGCATAGATAGATAGAGAGATAGATAGATATGAACAGCTATGACAGATGCATATGGATAGATATGATAGAAAGATATGGGCATAGATAGATAGAGAGATAGATAGATATGAACAGCTATGACAGATGCATATGGAGAGATATGATAGAAAGATATGGGCATAGATAGATAGAGAGATAGATAGATATGAACAGCTATGATAGATGCATATGGATAGATATGATAGAAAGATATGGGCATAGATAGATAGAGAGATAGATAGATATGAACAGCTTTGATAGATACATATGGATAGATATGATAGAAAGATATGGGCATAGATAGATAGAGAGATAGATAGATATGAACAGCTTTGATAGATACATATGGATAGATATGATAGAAAGATATGGGCATAGATAGATAGAGAGATAGATAGATATGAACAGCTATGACAGATGCATAGGGATAGATATGATAGAAAGATATGGGCATAGATAGATAGAGAGATAGATAGATATGAACAGCTTTGATAGATACATATGGATAGATATGATAGAAAGATATGGGCATAGATAGATAGAGAGATAGATAGATATGAACAGCTATGATAGATGCATATGGATAGATATGATAGAAAGATATGGGCATAGATAGATAGATAGATAGATAGATAGATAGATAGATATATAGATAGATAGATAGATAGATATGAACAGACTGAGGGAGGTAGATAGATATGAACAGACTGACAGATAAGAACAAACTGAGATAGATTTGAACAGACTGAGACATTATTTATATTATTCGAACTACTGTCCTCATCTTTGTCGCCATATTTATCACAACGATAATACCTCATCTCAGAAATATAGACAGATACTAAAGGGCCGAAACGTTGTAATAAATATGGCGACAAAGATGAGGATAGTCCGAATAATGGATAGATATGAGAAATATAGACAGATACTGGGCAAACGTTGTAATAAATATGGCGACAAAGATGAGGATAGAATAATGAACAGTACATAATGATCTCAGAAATATAGACAGATACTAAAGGGCCGAAACGTTGTAATAAATATGGCGACAAAGATGAGGACAATAGTCGGAATAATGTAAATAGTGTACATAATACTCATCTCAGAAATATAGACAGATACAAAGGGCCGAAACGTTGTAATAAATATGGCGACAAAGATGATGGGAATAATGTAAATAGTGTACATAATACCTCATCTCAGAAATATAGACAGATACTAAAGGGCCGAAACGTTGTAATAAATATGGCGACAAAGATGAGGACAATAGTCGGAATAATGTAAATAGTGAACATAATACCTCATCTCAGAAATATAGACAGATACTAAAGGGCCGAAACGTTGTAATAAATATGGTGACAAAGATGAGGATAATAGTCCGAATAATGTAAATAGTGTACATAATACTTCATCTCAGAAATATAGACAGATACTAAAGGGCCGAAACGTTGTAATAAATATGGCGACAAAGATGAGGACAATAGTCCGAATAATGTAAATAGTGTACATAATATATCTCAGAAATATAGACAGATACTAAAGGGCCGAAACGTTGTAATAAATGGCAACAAAGATGAGGACAATAGTCCGAATAATGTAAATAGTGTATAATGATCTCAGAAATATAGACAGATACTAAAGGGCCGAAACGTTGTAATAAATATGGCAACAAAGATGAGACAATAGTCCGAATAATGTAAATAGTGTACATAATACCTCATCTCAGAAATATAGACAGATACTAAAGGGCCGAAATGTTGTAATAAATATGGCGACAAAGATGGGACAATAGTCCGAATAATGTAAATAGTGTACATAATATATCTCAGAAATATAGACAGATACTAAAGGGCCGAAATGTTGTAATAAATATGACAAAGATGAGGACAATAGTCCGAATAATGAAATAGATACATCATCTCAGAAATGATAGATACTAAAGGGCAGAAACGTTGTAATAAATATGGGCAACAAAGATGAGACAATAGTCCGAATAATGTAAATAGTGCACATAATACATCTCAGAAATATAGACAGATACTAAAGGGCCGAAACGTTGTAATAAATATGGCGACAAAGATGAGGACAATAGTCGGAATAATGTAAATAGTGTACATAATACCTCATCTCAGAAATATAGACAGATACTAAAGTGCCGAAATGTTGTAATAAATATGGCGACAAAGATGAGGACAATAGTCCGAATAATGTAAATAGTGTACATAATACCTCATCTCAGAAATATAGACAGATACTAAAGGGCCGAAACGTTGTAATAAATATGGCGACAAAAGATGAGGATAGTCGGAATAATGTAAATAGTGTACATAATACCTCATCTCAGAAATGTAGTCAGATACTAAAGGGCAGAAACGTTGTAATAAATATGGCAACAAAGATGAGGACAATAGTCCGAATAATGTAAATAGTGTACATAATATCATCTCAGAAATATAGACAGATACTAAAGGGCCGAAACGTTGTAATAAATATGCGACAAAGATGAGGACAATAGTCGGAATAATGTAAATAATGTAATAATATCATCTCAGAAATATAGACAGATACTAAAGGGCCGAAACGTTGTAATAAATATGGCGACAAAGATGAGGACAATAGTCCGAATAATGAAATAGTGTACATAATACCTCATCTCAGAAATATAGACAGATACTAAAGGGCCGAAACTTTGTAATAAATATGGCAATGCATACAATAGTCCGAATAATGTAAATAGTGTACATAATACCTCATCTCAGAAATATAGACAGATACTAAAGGGCCGAAACGTTGTAATAAATATGGCGATAAAGATGAGGACAATAGTCCGAATAATGTAAATAGACATAATATATCATCTCAGAAATATAGACAGATACTAAAGGGCCGAAACGTTGAATAAATATGGCGACAAAGATGAGGACAATAGTCCGAATAAAGTAAATAGTGTACATAATAGCTCATCTCAGAAATATAGACAGATACTAAAGGGCCGAAACGTTGCATAAATATGGCGACAAAGATGAGGACAATAGTCGAATAATGTAAATAGTGTACATAATATATCTCAGAAATATAGACAGATACTAAAGGGCCGAAACTTTGTAATAAATATGGCAACAAAGATAAGGACAATAGTCCGAATAATGTAAATAGTGTACATAATACCTCATCTCAGAAATATAGACAGATACTAAAGGGCCGAAACGTTGAATAAATATGGCGACAAAGATGAGGACAATAGTCTGAATAATGTAAATAGTGTACATAATACCCTCATCTCAGAAATATAGACAGATACTAAAGGGCCGAAATTGTAATAAATATGGCGACAAAGATGAGGACAATAGTCCGAATAATGTAAATAGTGTACATAATACTTCATCTCAGAAAATAGACAGATACTTTGGGCCGAAACGTTGTAATAAATATGGCGACAAAGATTTCGACAATAGTCGGAATAATGTAAATAGTGTAAATAATACTTTCTCAGAAATATAGACAGATACTAAAGGGCAAACTTTGTAATAAATATGGTTGGACAATAGTCCGAATAATGTAAATAGTGTACATAATACTCATCTCAGAAATATAGACAGATACTAAAGGGCCGAAACGTTGTAATAAATATGGACAAAGATGAGGACAATAGTCGGAATAATGTAAATAGTGTACATACCTCATCTCAGAAATATAGACAGATACTAAAGGGCCGAAACGTTGTAATAAATATGGCGACAAAGATGAGGACAATAGTCCGAATAATGTAAATAGTGTACATTCATCTCAGAAATATAGACAGATACTAAAGGGCCGAAACGTTGTAATAAATATGGCGACAAAGATGAGGACAATAGTCGGAATAATGTAAATAGTGTACATAATACCTCATCTCAGAAATATAGACAGATACTAAAGGGCCGAAACTTTGTAATAAATATGGCAACAAAGATAAGGACAATAGTCCGAATAATGTAAATAGTGTACATAATACCTCATCTCAGAAATATAGACAGATACTAAAGGGCCGAAACGTTGTAATAAATATGGCGACAAAGATGAGGACAATAGTCGGAATAATGTAAATAGTGTACATAATACCTCATCTCAGAAATATAGACAGATACTAAAGGGCCGAAACGTTGTAATAAATATGGCGACAAAGATGAGGACAATAGTCCGAATAATGTAAATAGTGTAATAATACCTCATCTCAGAAATATAGACAGATACTAAAGATGTAATAAATATGGCAACAAAGATAAGGACAATCCGAATAATGTAAATAGTGTACATAATACCTCATCTCAGAAATATAGACAGATACTAAAGGGCCGAAACGTTGTAATAAATATGGCGACAAAGATGAGGACAATAGTCGGAATAATGTAAATAGTGTACATAATACCTCATCTCAGAAATATAGACAGATACTAAAGGGCCGAAACGTTGTAATAAATATGGCGACAAAGATGAGGACAATAGTCCGAATAATGTAAATAGTGTACATAATACCTCATCTCAGAAATATAGACAGATACTAAAGGGCCGAAACGTTGTAATAAATATGGCGACAAAGATGAGGACAATAGTCGGAATAATGTAAATAGTGTACATAATACCTCATCTCAGAAATATAGACAGATACTAAAGGGCCGAAACGTTGTAATAAATATGGCGACAAAGATGAGGACAATAGTCGGAATAATGTAAATAGTGTACATAATACCTCATCTCAGAAATATAGACAGATACTAAAGGGCCGAAACGTTGTAATAAATATGGCGACAAAGATGAGGACAATAGTCGGAATAATGTAAATAGTGTACATAATACCTCATCTCAGAAATATAGACAGATACTAAGACTGAGATAGATAGATATGAATTGACTGGCTGAAGGATAGATAGATATGAACAGACTGATATAGATAGATATAGATATAGAATGGATAATACTTCACAAATGATGACGATAATGATGATGATGGTGGTAGTGTAGGAATTATATATCCCTGCGAATATTGCTATTTACTTAATATGTTTGTTTTTTTTATCCAAAGGTTGATGATACCAGATTTATTAAGTTTTGATTTTTTTTTTTTTTTTTTTAATACAAAATAGCAATAAATAAGGGAAATAAAATGAGCCAAATCCTCTCGGTGGAAGACTAATTATTATTATTATTATTATTATTATCATCATCATCATCACCACCACCACCACCACCACCACCACCACCACCATTCTTCTTCTAAATATTGTTGTTGCTCACATGATCAGTCCATGGTATTCTCAGCAGCCTTCTGTAAAAACATATTTCTGTTCTCTCAAGTCTTTTCTTTATCAGTGATGAGATTGTCCAGCATTCGCTGCCAGATATGAGAACCGATGTTGCGCGATGTTTTTTTGGTTCTAGCGGGATTTTCCTGTTTCCTAATACTTTGCTTTGCTTTTGGAAGGCATCTTTCATCATTCCAATGCAACTTCGGATTTCGGTGTCGCCCTTTTCGTCCTCAACACTTCCATGATATTTAATTTTTTGCACTTGTTTTTATTTTGGTATCCCCAATTTGTAATTGGCAGGTTGGGATTTTTGCTGACAACCATATATTCCGTCTTCTTACAACTGATGTTTAGTTCCTTCTTCACGCTTTCCTTTACTACTTGCTGTATTTTCCTTTCCCCTCCTTGTCTGCTATCAACACTGAATTATCTGCGTATTTTTGTAATTGTCGCCAATAATGAATCCCGATAGGAATTTCAATTGTTTTAAGAATTCCCTCGCTGTAAAGGTTGAATAAGTCCGGTGATTTAGCACTGTTATTTTTTAAAAAATAAAAACAAAAATACTAAAGAACTTCGGATTATTTGCCTAACAAGTTCTTTCCTATTTTCTATACACACACACACACACACACACACACACACACACACACACACACACACACACACACACATATATATATATTTCAAAACGAAAAGAATAAATAATACAAAATAAAAATGAAAAACAAGTAAAATAAATTAACCCAAATAAATAAATAAATAAACAAACTTCCGTTAAAATAACCGCCAGAATAGATTACCCACAGTGCACCACTGACCGATATATATAAATAGCCGATGAAAAATCTAACATTCGCGGCCTGACGATTGCATCCAGCATGAAACACCCTGTCGTCTCTGAGTGTTGACTTCAATGTTCACTTTTGTATATATCTTTTTTCTATATTTCTATATTTCCAAGGAAAAACATAAAATCTACTTTTGATTTTTTTAGGTTACTCATAAAGAAAGACACATTCCATATCTATGAATGGTATCATGAAAATGAAATGATAATAATGACAAGAAGACCTTTGGAATTGACATTTGTATTTATACACTTCACTGCTTCATTTGGGGTTGCTCGGAAAGAGAGAATATCTTGGTTTGCTCCACTCTCCAAGGCCCACATGAGGCATTAATATTAACTATGATATGTTAACACATTAACACAACGGAAAGAAGGACTTGAATATCTCAAAGAAATTAATTCTAAAAACGTTTTATATACAGCACTAGAATATGCAAATATGTCATACGATATATAATACTTGGATATATCTATATTTATCCCAAACCAAATAGAATAAATAAAAATATACAAAATAAAAAGTAAGTAAATAAATAAAAAAAAACTAATAAAAATTAATCCCAATACATAAATAAATGAACAAATTAACAAATCGCCCCCGCTAAAATAACCGTTAGAACTAATAAAAATAAGCATAAATAAGCAAAAATAAGTAAAAATAATCAATCCAAATAAATAAATTAAAACTGTCCACCCGCCAATATAAAAGAATAGACTACGCCAAGCAATTTAAACATTGGACAAATAAATAGCTTTAATTATCTTCCCAGACCAAAACAAACTATTAAATAAGTGACCTAAGCAAATCCCCCTCCAAAATTGTTTACTACGTTAATAAAACACCAAAAAACGAAAAGAAGAAATAATAGAAAATGAAAAACAAGTAAAATAAATTAACACAAATAAATAAATAAACAAGTCACTCCAGCAAAAATAACCGCAAGAATAGATTACCCACAATGCACCACTGACCCATATATATAAATAGCCTAGGAAGAATTCAGCATTCGAGGCCTGACTATTGCATCCAGCATGAAACAGCCTGTTGCCTCTAAGTGTTGACTTGAATGTTCACTTATATATATATATATATATATATATATATATATATATATATAGGGTCCAAAAATTTTGCTGGAAGATGAAACGGACCTTGGTACTTGGTTCAATTTAATTCTAATAATTATAATGGAGTTCTCAACTCTTGTTCTTGAAACATGAGAACTCTTATGTAGCGGAGGAATCATATTTTTAAATAAATAATTATATTTAGGCTCTACTTTTGTATTGAGCACTGTTTTTTAGAAATAATAACAAAAATACTAAAGAACTTTGGATTATTTACCTAACGAGTTCTTTCCTATTTTCTATATATTTTCACACACACACACATATATATATATGAAAGTGAACATATATATAAATATATATATGAAAGTGAACATATATATATATATATATATATATATATAAAAGTGAACACACACACACACATATATATATATATATAAAAGAAAGCGCTATATGAAAGGATGTATATAAAGGTTTACTTGCAGTGCGGGTGGGCACAGCCAAAACGCGTGATATTTATTATATTAATAATTTAGGACGCATTGCAATCGCTTGTTGTCCGAACCGCGGCCAGCTAACAAAATCTGTCTTCATCGCGGTCTAAACCGTAAGTCGCTATTACCTATATCTCGGTCGGGAGCAAATCAGCCATTTGAACTATCCTCGCCAACGAGCTGACGTCACTCGCGATCCGTCATGTCACCTTGATGACGTCATCTCACATGTCATCTTACACAAAGGGAGATAATCACCTTCTATATCTGCGGGGCGTAAGAAGGGATTCTTTTTCAGGTCTAAAGTATTATCGTTCTAATGCGATCTAAATCTTTTATCTCATACCCGACGTAGACTGATATTTCAGCTAGTATAGAACTAAAGGATTTCTATTTAGAATTCGATAATTACGATCTCTACCAGAAGAATAATGGCAAGAATCGTTGATGTAGAAAAATGTGTTACACACGCTGTCCCGGTCAGGATGTCCGGCGTCGTTGGTCCTCAGGCGGCCAAAATTACTGACAGAATACTCACCATAGCAGCCTATCTCTGCGTAAAATCGCCTGTTTGCTCTGGAAATTATCAAGTGTAATCATCTGAGGAGGCAATGCGTTCTAACGCCTTTAGATCCACAGAGGCCTATTAAGATTAATTTGAAGGTTCTAGCTAAGAAAGTAGTTTATTACAACAATATATATTTCGGTACTATATGCAAAACCAGTTTTTCGACAACAATACGTACGCTACACATTCTATTTCACGTTTAATTGTCGGATGTTATTTTACAATCTAAGATCCCATTTAATTCCAAGCAGTTCAATGTTGCCTCCCTTGATTACAATTTGCTCTTGAGAAATGACACCCATACAGAGAATATTTGTTTTTTTTTTAAATGAAGAGTAAAAATATCTAAAGAAAACCAATAAAAAACGAACTCAAAATAAATAAGAACTTTTAGCGTCCCGATACGATTCTTATTAATGTTGAATTTTGTACAAATCTGTGCAAAAAAGAGAATCAAATGCTTACCCAGCTTCATACAGATTTTCAGGAAATCTCAACTTCTAATTGGTCAATAAACACACAAGTGGGCGTTGCAATCCGCCCACGTACAAATATTTTTCCAGCGTGTGACCAAGTCAAGTTTTCCCGCTTTTGTCTTTCGATCCTATCACGTGATTACCTTAATTATAAATAGCAGACACGAGTTTGCTCATTCTTCTTTTTTCTTCTCTTCTCTTTTCCTGTAAAGATGTAACCTTAAATGATCCCGTCTCGACCATGTGCGGTCAGACGTTAAAAGCATATTCACGCGTGCACGTAGTTACGAAATTCTCCAAACTCCAATCCAAATATAAAAACATTTCCAAACAAGCAACAAGAACTTTTTTCTTTGAAATACTTGTCTAAAGCTACGGTTTATTCAGCATTTCTCAGCTATATAATTCATTCAACTTTTGTGAGCTCAGATAAAAATATTTCAGTTTCATCAGTAAAACTTTAACTCAGGCAAAGGGACATAACACCAACAAAATAGTAACCTCTACGCATGTACATTACACAAAAATAAATATAAATGTTGTTGTTATAAAACCGTTTTTGTTCCTTCTTGTGTTTCATATTTTGTGATATTTTACGTTAAATATAAATCGTTTGGTCATGTTAATAAACAGACATCTACAAATGGTCGTATACAGGGTGTCCATAAAGTTCGTGTGCACTTTAAAAAATTTATAACTTTATTTGTATTTGTGATAGAAATAATCTGTAAAAAAATGTTATAATACATTGTTTCAACAAGATGGAGCTCCTTGTCACTTTGCTCTGCGTGTTAGAGAGTTTCTAAATCAGGAATTTCATAACAGATGGATCGGAAGGGGTGGACCATTTTATTGGCCTCCACGTTCGCCAGATTTGACTTCATGAGATTTTATTTTATGGGGACATGTGAAAACAATTGTGTATGCAACAAAACCTAGTTCATTAGAAGATTTGACAGCTAAAATAACTAATGTGATTTCAGGCATTACTGTAAATCAGTTGGCAAATGTTTTCCGTGAACTGCAAAATCGTATTACCCTTTGTATTGCTAATGATGGAGGACATGTGGAAACTTAAATAAAATTTCAATAAAACCTTTAAAAAATATAGATTTACTTCTTTCTAATCCTTTTTACAGACTATTTCTATCGCAAATACAAATAAAGTTATAAATTTTTAAAAGTTCACACGAACTTTATGGACACCCTGTATATTAATATTTCACTACAAACTAATGTATTTCACGAAAATACATAAAATTAAATAAGTATGGAGTAACAAATGTAAAAAAAAAAAAATTACCAAGATTTTCTAAAAAAGAAACGTATAAAAATAATTTAATTCATTTGCGAATAAGTCCAGAATTTTTTATTAAAATCCGTCATTTATCTGATTTCTGTAAGAATTTCCAAATCAATGTGTTTTTCAGCGCAACCCCACCCACGCAAATTTCCCATACTAATTTATTGTCCCCGTTGACGTTAGAGAAATAAGATTTTAAACCAAAATTCCGAAACTTCTAGAAAGGATTTACAAAAAAATAATTTTTATATAAAAAAAATCCTTTCGCATTTCCTATTAATAATAACAGAAAGATTTTGACGATAAAACTTTGTTTTGGTTATTTTTTTATTCTGTGTGACCATTTTTAGCGAATATTTGGAGGTATCTATATATATATTAATATATTAAATATTTCACTTCAAGCAAGGTGATAGTGCCACTAAAATGACAGGAGTTACAGAGAATGAAAGAAAATTAGAAGATTTTTAGTGAGGTAAAAAACAATAAAAGAACTGGGTTCAAAAAGACAGTAAATGGCGATTGACGTTGCATTAAATTTTTTGAAGATTATAGGTCATAGCAAAGCAAGAAACCGGAAGTGAGTTCCATGAGAATTGCGTGAAAATAAATAAACTATTAGAATGGAACTTCCGGTTACATCAAGCTATTTCAACAGTAAAATGATGAAACTTATTTGCCAAATTTGTAGTACGCTTAAATTCATTAAGTCAAAGCATTAATGAAGAGAGTTCGTTAGTAGAATTTCCATGGAAATAATTATTAAAAAGACAGAGAGAAGTGTCCAAGAGATTTTTTAGTCGAGAGTAGCCATTCTCAGGCTTTCAATTTTTGTTCCGTAAACGAAACACCCAGAAGAAAGCCTTTCTTTAATGATGAGGAGGTAAAAGAGGCAACTTGTGGATAAGAAAGCAGCCACGAACATCCCTGCCAACCAATCATATTCCAGTGAGGGGGAACACAGGTGGATGCATATTCCATTTTATCACAACAATAAAGAGATTTTTATATACAATATAGATATGCATGCAAGGATAACAGAATGTTTGTTGATTGTGGCAATTGAGACAAGGTTATGAAGAATGTTCATGCAGAAATTTGGTCAATAAAAATTAATGGTTTTGATTTGTTAGCGAAATTAAAATAATTTGATTTCTGCAAGGAAAAATCTCAAATGTGTTCGTTCAAATACTAGTGTGTATGCGTGTGTCACTTGTTAGTTAGAATTTAAGTTGTGAAGAGTTGTTTGCCTTTAACTGTTTGGCTAAATTGATGAATTGTACAATTACTGTTTGTGTAGTGAAAACGTTCACTTTTTAAGTCAATTGTAATTCGATTACCATGCGGACAATGGTCATTTGAGTGCTGTGTTGAGTTTATTGAGAATTTTGAAGTGATGTTGAGTCAGTGAATTGACACGCGTGGAGTTTGGTAGCATCTCACGAAACTCGATGACTGACTGACTTGAATTGAGTCATGCGGCTGTTTTTATAGACTTTGGTGCTTAAAAATCGGCTCTAGGGCGCTCGGCAGGAAAAAGGATCAGTTTTGACTTTGCTACAGTTATTGTTTCTTAACCAATAGAAGATTGAATTTACAGAAACGAAATGGTGATTGGTTAAGGCTTTTTTTTAGGGAAGAATACATCTTTTCGAAAGGGGTGGATGGCTAATGTGGAAGATTCCACAAACACATTCTTTTTCATTTCTTTTGTATCCTAAACTCTAAAACTTAAAAACAATTTTAAGCTTCCCACAGCAGCCTCGAACCCGAACAGTACCCTCAATAAAGAGCATCTTGGATATTTGGTTTAGATGAGTTGTACTGTATTTCAAATTATTTAAAAGACTATTGAGTAGAAATAATAGAATGTTCTGTTTAAAAGAGTTGTACTGAATATTCTTATTTTTGACGTCCTTTACGGAGTGTAATTGTTTTTGAATAAGATATTTCGTAAATTTTTAAACATCTCATAACGTGTCTTAGTTTTTCAAAAACTACAATATTTGTTTAGCAAAATTTTTTCCCTTACTATTGGTTGTAAATTATTTTTTGTAGATTTATGTATTTAATGTACACTTTAAATAAAAAAAACAACAAACTAATCAACGTTACAAACTACCTTTTGTATCCTAAACTCTAAAACTTAATAACAATTTTAAGTTTGCCACAGCAGCCGTTTCTTCCTCGTATCCGAACAGTATCCTCAATACCAAACATCTCGGATGTCCGGTTTCGAGTTGTACTGTACTATTGAGTTCCCGTTGGGAGGTGTTGTGTGTTCGTTTTTAAATCTGTCGGAGTTACCTCCTCCTTAATTCCCAAATTCTTCACCAGGGGTCTTTCTCCCCATACTATAAATACTGGGCGACTTCTTGCCGCAATCTCTTTTTTCCCTCAGGCCTCGTGCCGCATCCCACCTCGCGTGGAGGTGAGGTAATTCTTTCTCTTCTTTCTTCATTTCAGCGAACACCGCTACTATGTGAGCTCTCACAAAAGACAGCGTTTCCCATTTCTGGGAAGACGCTATGAACATTACAAACATACACGTACTTACGAACATTCACCAAAATACAAACATTCACCAAAGAACAAACATAAATGTTCCCACACAAACACAATGTTAACTGTCTATGTGGTATGTAATTTGTTGTTAATACATATATTTGTTTTACATTAAGAATTGGACAAAGTCCGACAATTTATTAAAGACATTTTTATGTTTAACATTCTTTTTATAGAACCTGTATCCTATACGAATCCTGTCAAAGGACGAATATTTTCTATGAAAATTTCTCGGACATTCAGGCCGGTAAATGTTATTTAATACTGTTTATTATAAACAGAGCATTTACTTAAATACTTGTATCTATAAAAAAAAGAACGTTAAACATAAAAATGTCTTTAATAAATTGTCGGACTTTTGTCCAATTGTATTTAATCATTTGTTTACATTTGATACGCCATGAGCAGTTATGAATGTACGAGATTCATGGAAGATTGAAGTTTATAAGCAGTAAATTCGACCTTGCCTACCGAACGCTCCTTTGTGGCCGAGTCGGTTAAGGCACGTCAGCGTAAAAGACGGTTCCGTATAGGATGCAGGTTCGAATCCTGTCAAAGGACGAATATTTTCTATGAAAATTTCTCGGACATTCAGGCCGGTAAATGTTATTTAATACTGTTTATTATAAGCAGAGCATTTACTTAAATACTTGTATCTATAAAAAGAATGTTAAACATAAAAATGTCTTTAATATATTTGTTTATATATATATCGGTCTTGTTTGTTTGTCTTCTTTATCTTCAGTTAGATTTAATTCAAGTCGAACATTCTCTTCTTTCTGGACCTTCTTCTTGCAGGAAATTTAAACGCGCGTGTTTTCTTTTCATTTTCACCCCCCCCTGACTGTACTGTACTGTACTGATGCGGCATTCACCCTGGGCGGATTGAGCCGGCTTCTTCCTGTTGTGAGAAGAAGATTCTTGGGATAAATTAAGGTAGTAGGGTACCCAGGCCTACTCGGATAACGTTCTTGCTTGCCGCGGGTTCCCACAGACGCAGAGACAGGAACGACCAGAAGCCGCCGGTTACCGATGCAGACGCTCCTTGGATTTTCACCAGAGCCCTTGTTAGCCGGCGTGTGTGTCAGACTTGTCCGCCTTGGGTGGCTCTACCAGGAACGAAGTTCCGGGCGGCATAGCTCTGACACTACCGTTTACACCCCCCCCCCACCGACTGTGAGGTAAGGGTTGGACTTTGGGGGCTTACAGTACCAGGTGTTCCCAAGCGGTCCCCCATCTAAGTACTGACCTGGCTCTACGATGCTTAACTTAACGAGAACCAGTGTTTCAGCGTGATTTGACCGTAAGCCTCCCGGTCCTCTACAGATCTATTGTACTTTTGAACCACTATCATTTGGCATATATGAGGGTGCTGATATGTTCTCGGCCCGACCCATTAACTAAAATAAGCCCAAATGATCAACAAGCTTTAATCTTTTTGATAAAGGACTTTCGGTCGGTTCGAAAGCATTTCAACACGTTCTCTCTCTCTCTCACACACACACACGAATACATATGTGTGTATACATGTGTAATCTGCCATAAAGTGTCTCGATTAGCCAGCGCAGAAAGGCGAACTGTAGCAGGAAGACTGACATGTCAGCAATATGAGAAGTGCAAGATTCTTGTAGGTCTTAAAAGCCACCTGAGATGTCATCAGTGATGAAGTAATGATATTTGCAGTGCGTAAAACACCAAGAAATTTTGTGTGCGTGAGATGGTCTTAATATGTCACGAGTTGAATTACGTGCGATGGATAAATTGTCGCATAAATGACGCAACAATTAAAATAACACTGAGACATCTATTTAACAGATATATTTACCAAAATTACACAAAAATATCTTGAAATACTAGAATAAATTTATTCAATTAAATCGCCATTGGCTTCAATCAAGAGCCGCAGACGACTTCGGAATCTCTTATGGCGTCTAAATTACGCAAAATTAAAATAACACTGACATCTCAATTTAACAGATATATTTATTAAAATTGTACAAAAAATATTTTGAAATACTAACGAATAATTTTTTTCAGTACACTCGCCATTGGCTTCAAGCACAGCCTCCAGACGACTTCGGAATCTCTTATGGCGTCTAAATTACGCAAAATTAAAATAACACTGACATCTCAATTTAACAGATATATTTATTAAAATTGTACAAAAAATATCTTGAAATACTAACGAATAATTTTTTTCAGTACACTCGCCATCGGCTTCAAGCACAGCCTCCAGACGACTTCGGAATCTACTGCATCACTTCCGGACGGTCTCCTTGTTTAAGTTGATGAATGCTGCCATAATACTTGCCTTCAGTTCATCTTTGATGTTAAAAGGAGTTTTGTTGGTCTCTCGCTCAACTGCGTCCGGCACATAATAATCAAATGGTTAGCAATTTGGGGAGTTAAGCCAGATGTAAAGGATGATGTGGTCGCAGAAAGAAATGCAGGAGATTGCAAAGTCGTCTGGAGGCTGTGGTTGAAGCCAATGGCGAGTCTACTGAAAAAAATTATTCGTTAATATCTCAAGATATTTTTTGTACAATTTTAGTAAATATATCTGTTAAATTGAGATGTCAGTGTTATTTTAATTTTGCGTAATTTAGACGCCATAAGAGATTCCGAAGTTGTCTGGAGGCTGTGGTTGAAGCCAATGGCGAGTGTACTGAAAAAAATTACTTTTAGTATTTTAAGATAATTTTTGTATAATTTTAGTAAATATATCAGTTAAATTATTTTTAATTTTTTTTTAATTTAGACGACAATTTATCCATCGCATAATTTATATATATATATATATATATATATATATATATATATATATATATATATATATATATATATATATATATATATATATATATATATATATATATATATATATATATATATATATATATATATATATATATCGCATCCTATATATATATATATATATATATATATATATATATATCATCTATATATATATATATATATCATAAATTAACTGATTTAAAATATGTTTTTTTCGCTACACAGTTCTAACCATGTTTCAAAAATGGAAGCTAAAAGCTTTGAATTTAATTTTGTAATTACATTAAAGACATTAGTTCTATTTCATAAATATATATATATATATATATATATAGGATGTGAGTGTACTGAAAAAAAATTACTCTTTAGTATTTCAAGATATTTTTTGTATAATTTTAGTAAATATATCAGTTAAATTCTTTTAATTTTTGTGCCTAATTTAGATGACAATTTATCCATCGCATCATATATATATATATATATATATATATATATATATATATATATATATATATATCCTATATATATATATATATATATATATATATATGTTATAAATTAACTGATTTAAAATATGTTTTTTTTTTCGCTACACAGTTCTAACCATGTTTCAAAAAATGGAAGCTAAAAGCTTTGAATTTAATTTTGTAATTATATTAAAGACGTTAGTTCCATTTCATATATATATATATATATATATATATTGATATATATATATATATATCCCATATATATATATATATATATATATATATATATATATCGCATCCTATATATATATATATATATATATATATATATATATATATATATATATATGCGTAAGACTCTTAACTCTTTACAAAATGAAGCACTGCCTTCATTTCTCCGTCGTCACCGTTATATTGCGATACGCCCACACCATGAATGAATCTTTGTTTTGGGTCCAAGTTCATTCATAAAACTGCCACTATTGACAAAATGAGCGTCTATGGTCTTTTCGTCTGATTCTTGTTAGCTTCAACAGAACCGCCCACACACACCAGCAAAAATTGCTTTTCTTCCCGAAACATCAGAGAAAATAGAATCAGTTTCTCGTATGTTATTCATCTTATACTTGTCTTTCATGCTGAAAATAAAATTACAGGTCCGTTCGTTCAGTGGCTTAATTACAATGAATTCGATAGAAATCAATAAATTCCATATTGATCTTGCAGTTGCTTTGCTTTAAATTGCAGATGATTAAACAGCAATAATATGATTGAAAGATTGAAATAGCTATTTTCTCTTCAAAAGTGAAACATTATTGATCTTGGCTGATAGTTAAATGATAATCCTTTAGCCTGCACCACATCGTCATCTTAGTTCCAAAAGTTATTGCTATTGAAGGCTATTTGATCTCTTAAGTGGCTAGCATTGTTTACCATTTTTGTGTATTATCATAAATTATTAAATA